TTCATGTTTAATTAACATCTTACAGATGCTGATTTAAATCATCATCACGGTTTTTCACACAACTTGGTTTTGGGTCTAGCAGACATAGAACCTTTAAATCTTCTTCATATTTCCTGAACTCTGTAAACATTGCAGATGGATGAGAACCAACAGAACCTTGAGGCTGTTCTGTGTTTTTTAAATTAGAAGCTGGGTGTTCTTCCACATATAGCAACATTCATGTGTTCATCAGCTGACCACAGAACCCTCCTAAAGCTCAGTGATGTTCTGGTTCAGCCGAGACGCTTCATCACAGAACACCAACAATCAGACTTCAGTCGCATTCAGGGTTCTTAAATCCAGGTTCAGGTTTTAATGCTCCTGTACACTGAACAGTCTGCTGGCTTCATTTCATGGATATTTATGGAGTTTACCGACAAATATCTGCTTTTAAAATGTATTTTTTTGTATTTAAGAAAATGTTGGAATAATCTGAAAACAGAACAGAACCAATGAACTCATTTCATAAATATATTTACAACGTTCACAGCTTCATCTGTTACTGCATTTGTGAAATCAAACTGTGGCTGAAAAGGAAAAATTCACTTTTTCCACTTTAGCAAAGAGAGACGTTGATGCAACAAGAGGAGAGTTTGTGTCTCTGCTCACATCAACACGATCGATCGACTCTCGTTGAGTCATTCAGCTGCAGATCATCAATAATGAACAAAAAGTCAATTAGAACATAAAACTCAGAGCGGAGATCAACACTGATGATGCTGAGATCAAATTACAAGGTTCAAGAATTACACTAAAATCACACGACAACAACGACAACAACACTGACAACAAGAAGAACGATGACAACAATAACAACAACAACAACACCGACAACAACAATAACAACACCAACACCGACAACAACAATAACACCGACCACAACAACAACACCGACAATAACAACAACACCGACAACAACAANCAGGTGTAACAGCAGACAGGTGTGTCAGCGCCTCCACCGCCAGCGGGCAGGACTCCCCCCCTCCTCCTCTTGTCCTCTCTCTACTCTCCTGCTCTGATGTTCTCAGGTGTGGCAAGGTGCAGGCAGGTGGAACCAACCAGTGATCACCAGGTTCTCCTCAGCTGCAGCGGGCCTGGTTCCTTCAGCCAGTATTCAGCCTGCTCCATACAGACGCCAGCAAACCACGAGCCGACGCCAGACGGTCGGCTCACATCCTGTTGGCAGCCCTGGCTCGGTCCGATTACCTGTTGCTCTGCCTTGCTGCGTCCAGAAACTTCCCTCCTGTGGCCTCCGTCTCCTCCTCCTGCCTCGTCTCCCTCAGATCCCACCATCCAAGCCCTGGACGCTGGTTCTGCCACCACCGTCTCCGTGCCCCTTCCCTCTCGTCCCGTCAGGAAGCTGGCTTGTGATAACTGGTGTCGGTTCTGTAGAGCTCTGTACTCGTGTCGTGATCCCTCCGCCGGTCCGTTGAAGGACCTCCTTCAGGTTTCTCTGTTTTTGAGTCCGCCAGTTTGTGTTCTGATTCTGATCTCGCATTTCTTGCTGTAAATGAACATTCTTCATGCTGTGACCTTCTGTCTGCCGTGTCTTCTGTCCCCGCCTGAACCTCTGAACCTGATTGGTCACAAGGTGAGTCCCACCTGTCAGGTCAACAGCAGCTGCTCGTTTTATTTTAGTGCTCATCAAGTTCGATTATCAGCAACCTTCGTAATGTTGAGCATTCAGGAACCTGAATGTGATCTGCTGTTGGTCTGTGAGGCTCATGTTCTGAACACATGATGCTGTGGGAACATCAGAGGGACTGAATGACAGCATGAATCAGCTTCAGTTCAGGATGTGGTGGAGCTGAGCAGCTGCTGGACGTGAAGCAGGTTCAACACAGTTAAATATAATTAAAGACTGTTGTAGGTAAAGAGCGTCTGCATTCAATGACAGAGCAGACATGAACCAGTGGCGCCGCCCAGCCGGACCAGGACCTGCAGCTAACAGCTTCATTCATCCCCTGAAGGAGCTGAACAGCAGCAGCTTGTTCACAGATTCACTGTTTCACCCTAAAAGTGTCAAACATTCAAGCTGAATGCGGAGAACTTCCTGTTTCACCCTCAAAGACCAGTGAAGCCGCCTGAAGGCTGCTCGGTGCCTCGAAAGACAAAAATGTGCAACAGACTGAAGACTGAACCACCGACGGTCCAGAATGACTCAAAACGTTCTGGAAGATCAGGTCAGTGTCTCCTGAAATAAAAGTCCAAAAGCTGTGAAATGTGGAGACTCACACAGAACAGTTCCATCAGAACCACTGAATGGACCCATCAGGACGCAGTTTTATTCTTTTTTTGCCTTTATTGGCTCGGACAGTTGAAAGAGAGACGGGAAAGTGGGGGAGGGGGAGGGCTGCAGCAAAGGGCCATGAGCGGGACTCGAACCCACGGCCGCCTCATCGGGGACTGCAGCCCCTGTACACGGGTCGCCAGCTCCACCAGGTGAGCTACAGCGGCGGGTCTGACACAGTTTCATTCTTGATCCAGAAAGTTCCTGTCAGTGTCTGTCTATGGATGGATCCATGATTCTACCAGAACCCAGTCTCTGGTCACATTTCACCAACTGTTGAGGCTCTAACATCAGCAGAACCTGATGTGGTGAAGCTGGACCAGACAAGGTTCTGGCTCTTACATGTTCAAACCAAAATTTTGATGTGGATCATTGGTAGGAACCAGAACCTGGAGTTCACAGGTTCTAGGTGTTGGTTCTAGGTGTTGGTTCTAGGTTTTGGTTCTAGATGTTGGTTCTAGGTGTTGGTTC